TTTTTCCCTTTTTCAAATTTCGAAACTTTTGATTTTGAAATTCTTTTATAAGTCCCTTTACCCACATCGATAATTAGATGATCACTTTTCATAGCGCGATTTGTGATAAGTCGATAAGAACGACGCCGTCGTTGCCATAACTTTTTTTTGCTGAATTTTGGCAGAAAAGAATTTGAATATAATTTTCCCCTCTGAAGAACTGAGTTGTTGGGTACCACGAGATACCGGTCACTTTTTTTGAAATTTCGGGATCTCTCGGGGAGATTTATTTTTTTGACCAATTCTGGTTTTTTTGAATGTTTTTCCGTTCTTCCATTTTTCTGATAATGTGAAAAATTAGGCGACTGTCCAATATGGTTTGTACTACGTTTAATTTCATTTTCAATTAAGTACAATGTTTCGGAAGTTTCATTTTTTCCTGTTGAATGTTTTTTTAGCATCGAAGTTAGATGCCCTGATTTCTTATCAACAGGTAACAATCGGTTCAGGTATGTTTCTTTAGATATCCGAAATTTTTGCTGATTAGATGATTCAGAAACTGATATGGGATCAGTTAAATGTTTGAAAGCGTTGAAATTGTGTGGAGTAAAATTCTTCATATGATTAAAATCCAGAATATTAGAAAATCTCAAAAACTGCTTGGAAGATGAATGTCGCTTAGAGGGCTTATTTTCAAATCCGGAACGAGAAATATGAAAAGTTTCTTCTCTTGTGACTGTTTGATGATGTCTTCCCATATTTTTTTTTTTATAATCACGATTTTTGAATGGAACTTCTTCCTTCTTCTCGGAATCACTAATTGTAATAAAAGCCGGCGTATCAGAGGACTCATTACTTGCTTGACCTTGTTGAAAATCTTCTCTACAGGTACTAAAATATCTCCTGCGTCGTGCCTGTACCAAACATTTAGCACTAGCGACAAGATCACGGTCATCTTCGATTTGATCTAGACATGAAGCCAGCATTTTCTGTTTATCTGTAAGAAAATTGAACATTATCTAATGATAAAATATTAGCCATTTCAAAGTAAATAAATAACTTTCCTGATTTCTTTGATGATTCAATAGGTTAAAAGTTAAAGACAACTGTGTTCATAATATATATGACTAAAGAGTTGATTTTCATCAATTTGTGCTTATAACTTCTATTTCGATACATTAGATAGAATATATTAGTAATTAAGAGTATCATCTAATGACTAACACTTAGAATTTTAAAAATAAGCAATGTTTTTTTCCTATCGCTAATTCTTCGAGCAATAGCAATCCAATAAGTAAGCTGTTTTATTTACTCAAATGAAATTTCATATAATGCAAACCATCGAGCTGCATCAATAGCCAACCTTTAGTTAACTGTTGATACATTTGTTTGCCAACTTGTCCAAGTAATGCTTTGATCGCATAAATGTACCAATTTAAATGTAAATTTTTTGCTATTTCGAACGTCTTCTTATTCATTCTTGCTTTGTAGATATTGCGAATATCATTGACCGTTAATCTGATACTCGATCCTAAAATTTGAACGGAGAATTAAACATTTGATCATCACTAAAGCGGATCAGCTATTGGCAGAAGGAATTGCTAACTGAAAGGATTTTGTTGGTTTAAGATACATTTCAGTTGGAAAAGAATTACTCTGAATGACCCGACTGTACTGATATTGTTGACCCTCAGATGCATCATACCTGTTTCAAGTATAATAGCGATCACTAGCCAATGAGCAAATTGCATCTTTATATAAGACACCTAAAATTTAAAAATGTTGAATTTATTTAAGCTATCGAAATCAGTGAAAATTAAAAAAATTTGATAACGCATTTCTAAAATTCATTCATTTGTTTGCATAAATAGCAAATGCATGAATAACATTTACTCACTTCAAATTTAGTCAACATACTACAATTAATGAATAATTGGTTACATTAAAAGCACTTAATTGCTGTATCATCCATTGTGAAACAATAAAATCGAACTTTAAAAAGTTTAAGGATGATTAATTTTCTCCCAATGTTTGTCCAAAAAAATTGAAACTTTTGAGTTAGGCATTAATCTAGTTCATAAATATTCCACATAGTCATTTTAAGGCTATATATATTTTTTGAAGCTAATAATCAAAAATAATAGTATTCTCCAATAAATAGTATATCTTAATTTCAAACTTCTAAAGATGAGAGAGGTGATAATACTTTAAATGATCAGAAAGAGTTACAATATTTAAATTTTCTCTCCACCTCCCGATTCCTAAATGACGGACATTTTAAGTTTTATAATTATACTCAAAGGAATTTAATTCTCTGTCTCTTTCTCTTCCTCTGTTTCTGTCTCTCTCTCTC